GCCTGTGGGTTTTGCAGTTGAAAAGTAACATTGTCACATGCCCTGCACTGGAAAGGCATGAGAGAGATACTGAGAGCACTTCCACCACCTTAGCAACAGCTTTGATCCTTTCCAGAGCAAAACAGAGTGCTCTTTATTTCACTCAGCTTGAAAGGTACCAACTAGGACACTGATAGATGAGATTCTTTCCACTCACATTAGAATCATAGAGTCAGAAAGTGGTTTGGATTAGAAGTGACCTTTAAAGGTCATCTAGTCAAACCCTCCTGCAATGAGCAGGGACATCTTCACCCACACCAGGCTGCTCAGAGCCCCATCCACCCTGCCCTTGAACCCTTCCAGGGATGGAGCATCTACAATCTCTCTGAGAAACCTGTTCCAATGTTTTGCCATTCTCATAGAAAAAAATTTCTTCCTTAAACCTGGTCTGAATCTACCTTCTTTCAGTTTTAAACCATTGCTCTATCACAACAGACCCTGATTTTAGTCCATCCCTATCTTTCTTATAAGCCCTCTTTAACTTCTCTTCTCTCACAAAGATGGACTGGCACAGGATGAAAGAGGCTGCTTTATTTTCTTCCTTGTCTTTTCATTCCAATGTTATTAGGACAGTAACTGCTCAAGTCACCAGTTTCCTAATGTTTCTTGTTCCTCTAGGAAATCTTATAAGAACAGTAAGGTTAAGATGAATATTTAAACACTGGGGCCATGCTATCACTGGAAAAGATAGTATGTGAAGAAATATGCTTCAAATTTAACTAATTTTATCTTTGTCCTGAACATGACATTAGAAGCTCACTGCTTGTTTCTGGAAAACTATATTTTAAAAAAACATTCAACCTTCTCTAAATATCCCTGGCTTCTCCATTAATTCTATAGCTCAGACTAATAAAAATAATGTTTCAGTCTATGATGCATACTAAAAATCGGAGGATCGAGTGTAGTTGATGATACATGATGGAGAAATTGCCAGGCTAGTAACTATTAGGATTTCCTTTTTAAAAAACCTAGAAAGCAGATTCAATTTCTTTTAATGCTGTATGAAAAGAACATCGCTTACATGCTACTCAAGCATGAGGAAACACAAAACTTGTTTGTTTATGCCAGCTGATGTCTGCTCAGTTGTGCACTGTGATCATGTTTAATTCTGATTCTCCGGGCTTTATATGTGTGCTCAGCTGTGCATGGTACAAATCATGCAGCAGCCTGCAGGTTATTAGCCCACAGTTTCTGCACAGATTGTAATGACTGCTGGCTCAATACAGGTTTCTGGGCAAAGGCAATTTAAGACATTTTCACATCCAGTTGTTTATTCCCCATGTTCACAGCAGCTCACTGCTCAATTATGCCAGTGCCACATGTGGTCAAGCTATAAACTGATGGGAGAAGAGAAACATTAAATGCAACCATGGGACTTTGTAGGATGTTTACAAACCTTAACTTTGCAAGTTTAAATCCATTTCAGCAATGACATTTACACTGCAGCCCCGCAAGCACCGATATCAGCATTACCTGTGAGGCATCAGACTCTGAGAGCTTCTAAGCCAGCTGTGCAGCAAAAAACAACCATGGGGCAACCATGCCTCTCTTGAATCTGAGTAAATGCTGTTGTAATTTACATGCTTTAGAATTCTAATTTCACATGTATCATCTCAAAATGGATTTTTTTTTTGCAACTTACAAGAAGTTTGAACTCATTCATCCATGATCAGAGTACCAATTATTTAGACTAAATGTCTTTTTCACAAAAATCACTTAGTCTAAGTAGATGTATCTGAGGTGAACCATTCCAGCCATTTGATGGGAATTTCAAACTAAATTCCACTTGTGAACTATGTGTGTCAGGGACTATTCTGGTATGTGTTACAAGGGGAAGTCCAACATATTTTGTGATTTTTCCAATAAAAGTGATTACCAAGTTGGTATGAGAATGAGAATGAAAAATGGTGAAATTCTGAACCCAGGAAAAAATGTTACTCTAGTTCTATATTTAGAGCAGTCAGAAGCATTCAGGTATGTCAGCATTCTTACACATTTTTTCATGATAGCATAGAATGATGGCTCAGTTTCAAAAGGCAATAAAGAATACACTGAACTGTATTATATTCCCTGGGGTTTTTTTCCCAAATCATATATAATTGAAATCAATAGAGAGGTGAATATAGAAGAAAAATGGCAAACAGACAAGGAATAAAGGAACATTAATAGTATTTTCAAACAAGATTGTCTAACTTGCAGCAATGTGCCACAGTTTAATCCATTTTAAAAGTAACTAAGTTCTTTGGGGCAATTAAGCTAACACCAGGGCAGTAGAAAGTGCACAGAGCATGCATTTGTGGATGTACTATAACAACAGTACTAAAATTAAATACTGCATGATTAAATTTTAACAACCAAAAAACCTCTTTTTGTGCCATGAAACCAAATAGGTCTTGTGAGGGGAGGGGAAGGATGATGTTTGTGGGGTTTTTTTCATTTTATTACAAAAAAATCTATGGAGTTAGTAGTACATTACAGAACCAATGGAGCTCCAATGAGGATTCAGAAACCACTTGTGCTGGTTTTGCATGAATTGATTTGTGGTGAAGAGGGAAAAAGTCAGTGTTGCTTAAAATAGCTCATCTTTTAAAAGGAATTATCCCATGTGCTGAAGTAAAATCCTGAGTCTAAAACAGACTACAAATGTTATCACCTATGAATGTTAAATTTATATACAAATGATATTAAAAAAGCAACTGGGTTTTATGCTGAACATGACTAAAATGAAAGAATTGGCCCAAGGTTTACAGTTTGCAGAAAGAAGCTCACTAGTGCAATTGCTGCTCTGTGCCAATGTTAACTACTCTACTGCTACCATTCTGATAAATCATAAAATAAACAAAAAGATCAAGGTATTCCAAGCAATAGTGATGGGATTGTGCTAGGATTCCCATGCTGTTCTATTCACCCATTGTGAAAAAAGGTGTAACACACACTTGGAATCTTAGAATTACCTCACTGAAAAAAGCTAATGACTTTTTTCTATTGGAAATCTTTATCAGCTTTTTAAAGTATCCACCTGGTTTTTTTTTTTTTTCATTAAAAGCCATATTGCTTGGATGTAAAAAGAACATAATGCAAATATCAAGCCAATTTATAAGCAGTATCTGTCATCTTTCAATCAGGATAGAGATAAAAATCAGGTGCATCCCAATAGAGCAGGTAAGTCTGTTCTTTGTAGGGTTTACCCTTTTCAGTAATAAAATGTAAAAGAATTCACTGCCTTTGTTGGTTTTTAAAATGCTCTGGGATTTAGGAAAAATACCATAGTCCAGAAACAAACTCTTCAGTGTCTCCCAATCCACTTCAAGTTCATCTAGAATTCTTAAGAATTACCACTTTCCTTTCATTTTCTCAGTTTCTTAAGGAAGTGTTTATAATGTTTCATAATAATTACTTAGTACAGACACTAAAAACATCTCATGCTAAAACAGAGGTATGTGCCTAACTGGGATCCAAGCAAGTATAACGAGAAGAACCAGCAAGTTCATTCACCACATAAATCTTGACTTGTCCCTGAGGGCTGTTTGGCCCTTACACTGAAGAGCTGGCCTGCAAGAGCATTAATCTTTACTTATGTGTCACATATTTGTTGCTCACATTTTAAAATGTACTGAGAATATCCACAGGTAGAGCTAATTGTTAGTTTATCGTAAGGGAAATCTCCTGTGAAATAGCTTCTAGTTGTAATTTATGCAGGAGAGATTAAACTGCATGCATGCACAAAGTGCCCGATGGCTGCCAGCTGAGGAGATGCTTTATGGAAGGCAAGGTTCTAAGATTTGGTAAGAAAGCAGACTTTTAACAGGAGCTGTCAAACTGAACGGGAAACTTGCTTTATTTAGATGCAAATTTTGCCCAATCATTTCAAGACTGCCTTGCACACCTATGCCTAAGTGCTTGAACTCAACTTACACACAACTTTCAGCCACTACGTGAGGAACAGCTCTTCAAACTACCTGCACCAGCTTGCAGGCAAATTAAGAACCAGTTTTCTAAATATTCCCCTTATTTATTGTAAACTGAAGTAGTTCCCCACAGAAGTTGCAGGTAAAATGTCTTTCTGATCACTTCACCCATGCCCTCATTTACTATGCGCAACAAAGTTTGAAAAATGCCATCTCTGAATTCTCCAGAAGATGGATGTACTGACTTTGTGAGATTGCCAATTTCACAAAATAATCACTGATAAGCTTGGAGAGTGTCTTAATAGGACCACAACATGCTGTACTTTCCCCTCCAATGTTAAAATTAACAAACATGACAGAAATAAGAGCATTTTATTTCTTCAAGAAATATATCTCACAGTTTTGGGCTGAGGTCTTTCCTAGAACACAAAACTTATTTTTACTGTAAGTGAATAGAAAGCCTATTTTAAGTGATAAATCAGAATCAACAACTGTTCAGTATGCAATCTGATCTGTGTCACCTCGAAGTATTTTACTTCTCTAAGTAGTAGTGAATAACCCTTATATTCTTATTCCATATTAAAAAAGCCTAACCCAATATTAGTATCTTCGTTTGATATAAGGTAGAAAAAACTTGAATACTAGGTTAGTAGTAAGCATAAAGGTGAAAAAAGTAGCTAATTTGTATCAGAAAGAATCGATGTTTGAAAAACTCAAAAGTACAGGAAAGACGAATACGAGGCAAGAAAACAGTGTTTAGAGAAAAGCCATTTCGGAATTTTTAAGTACTAGAGGAACTGACTTATGCTACACCACAAACCACCCCACATACTATTGCTACCAAGAAATCAAACTCTTTGAGTACCAACAAAGTTCCCCTCTCCCCCCCCAAAACTGAGTTTTGTAAGGAAGCATTAAATCCGTCCAGTCGGGAAAATGCTGTCTAGGATCATCCGAGACTTTCACCTCGGAAGGTTGCACTGAAACGCTCAACACCGAGTGCCAGCACTCTGGGAACAAAAAGCTCGCACTAGGAAACTATCAAACCAAACATTAGGAATGCCCAGGAAGCTTTATTATATTCCACGTGAAAAAAGGAGAACGACTGCACAGTCAGAGTTCGGAAGCAGGCATTTTGCGAGGCTTCTCCCGGCCAGTCCTTGGCGGGAACCACACGGGACAGAGGGCGGGCACAGCAGGACGGAGCTCAGGACTCGTCGGGCTTGTCGGCGGGCGGCCCGCAGGGCTGCAGCATCTTCTCCATCAGGTTGAAGCGGACGCGCGCCTTGCTCTCGTTCTCGGCGATGGCGAAGTAGTTGAGCAGGTCGAAGTGGCCCATGTAGGAGCAGTACGAGTCGCGGTGCTGGTTCACCAGCCACTCCCACTTGGTGGTGTCGGCGTGCCCCGTGCCGATGTACTTGGACTGCAAGTGCTCTAGCTGGCTGTGGATGGTGTAGCGGTCCGTCATGGCGAGGCGGGCGGGCGGAGCGCGGGAGGCGGAGACCGGCCTGGGCGGCGGGGATCGCCTTGGCGGCGGGGACCGGCCTGGGTGGCGGGGACGGGCTGGGCGGCAGAGACCGGCCTGGGCGGCGGGGACAGGCCTGGGCGGCGAGGACGGCTCTCGGCGCCGGGAGCTTTTCCGGCGGGCGCAGCAGCGCTTCCCGCCGCTTTTCCTGCCGCAGCGCCCGACGGGAGCGCGCCGGGAAGGGCTGCCGGGAGTTGTAGTCTTCTCTACGCCCCGCCGAAGGGGGGCATGCCCTGGCATAAGTAAATATTGATACCGTAATAAAATAGTTTACTCTCGGTCCGATCACGTCAGTCGGCTAGCACATAGTAAGGCAGGTGGTAGTTACAAGGCCGAGCCGGCGTGTGTAACCCAGGGTTATTTTAAAGCCCGTACGTGAGGGCTGAGGAGCGGCTCCAGCTCCGATTTCGTACTCGGAGCACGGGCGTGGGGCTGCGCCTCAGGCTGAAGGAGATGCTCAGCTGAGCCTCGGTGTAAAGCCTGGAGCCTCCCTTCGATTTGTAAACAAAGATACGGCTTTGATAGTGATCAATCCACTTGGAATCCAAGGGACTGCACTGTCAAATCTGGCTAAGAAATGCCCACGTAGGTGGATCGTGGGGAACAACATCAAAAAGTCTCTCCTGCCAGGGCGTGTCAGAAAACAGGAAGGCAAAGCCCCGGGCTCAGGCTTCGGGGCACAGCTTATCCCAGTTCCTGACATTGGCTCTGTATAAACAGCAACTCGCATGGGAAACCTGGCTCCGGAAAAAAAAAACCACAAAAACCCACATAACCACCCAGGAGGTGCCAAGAACAGCACAGCACACCCCTTTCATTAGCCCTTTGCTTGGTGAGACGGCAATGCACCACTTTCTGTGGTCACTCTCGCACAAGTCCATGTAGAGAAGGGCTGAAGAGGGCACAGCATTTGCAGGTCCTCCCAAATAAGAAGTTTGGTGAGGTTACTTCTGCTACATACAGCTGAGGAAAGTCCTGTATGTCCCATCCCTGTTCCTTTGTAAGTTGAAGAGCTCTGAGTTTATCTTCCCCAAATGGGCTGAGCAGGGTCAGGGGATTTAAGTAAAAATGAAATACTAATGTTGAAAAATATTTTTTACAGTGCAGCTAGTATTTTATGTGAATATTAAACTCACAAGCAGCTATAAAACCCGCAGAAAATATAACTTGGTTGCCTGTCTTTTGGTCAAAGTCAAGCTTGAAATAAATTTTATCTACCACCAAAATAGTTTTTTCCAGCTCTGTTCAAGAGCTTACATAATGTTAAGTTTAAAATGCATGAAATGATTCATGCTTTCATATGCTAGTAGTGTTTGTAATTATTTGTTTTAAAATACACACATTGCCAGAAATTTTTCAATAGGACACTGAGCTATTTCTTCCTGTCCTTGTAAATGCCCTGTAGTCAAAAAGAAATCCACAAAAATGTTGTGTGAAAACCCAGCTGATCCTATGCCCCTTGTTTAAAAGTGAGCATCTTATAAAACCAAGGCCATATAAAGCAATGTAAAAACAATGTTATGTTCTGAAGTGCTCCTTACCCTTCAGTGCAAAGAGCTAAATGAGGACTATAATTTTTTATTTTTGTTATTTTTATGAGGGTCTGTTGAATCATTCCTACCAAGGCTTACTTAGCTGGAAGCAGATTACAGAGCTGGATACAGCAGCTGCATTCTGTGGTTGCTTTCAGAGAGACCAGGAGAGGAAAAATAAACAAACATGATACTTTAGGAGTTTCTATGTATGCTGGCATACAGAAAGAGCAAAAAAAGACATATTCTCAATCAGAGAGAGCTTTCATTTCTTTTTTAAATGGCATCTTTCTAAAGAGTGGGATAGCAAGAAGAATGCTAGCTTTTAATAGATGTTCCACGCCAACACAGTGACACACAGGGCTGCCCTCACAGCTGCTTTGAAGTTATTTTATCCTCTTGGAAACTCTAAACCAGGAGATGAATTGATTAAAATAGTCTTTCGAGCAGAAAAGATTCCCAGAAGTTTATCCATCTCTTGCAGATGTTGCAGTTTCTAGGAGTAAAAACTGCATTAAATCAAACAGGTCTAATAGTTCTCATTTTAAAACAACAATAACAGCAATAACAACAACAAAACAACAGCAACAAACAAAACTAAAAACAGCAACAAAACCAAAACAAACCACAACAAACCCCCAGCCAAACAAAACAATGAAACAACAATAAAAACCCAACTAGCCAAAACCAACCAACCAACCAAAAAACCCCAAACCTCACTGGGAAGTGTGAAATTTTCAGCAAGTTTGTTACTGGGCCAGATTAAAATGCTGCATTCAGGCATCCAGAGCTCTGGGAAAACACACCAAAACTCATTGGCTTTGGTCAAAAACCTCTGAGACTGCCAGACAAGCTTACCAATTCAAGGAAGAAAAAATAGGTAGTAAAATTTCCAGCTGACAGGCAAGTGAGAATTATTTGCAAGTAATTACTTAGCTTCAATTTCACTCTAAAAAGAAAAAGTTTTATCTGCTAACTTTCAAGAATTATATTCAATTATATTCACTTTCTCTTCATTTCTTGTTCTATACAAAAATAAAATCTTTTTCTTGTTAGGTCTATTTTTTGCAAAATGAATGCCTGCACTAGGGCACTTTTGTAATGAATATTGAGTTTAGAGGAATACTAAATGAGTGGGAGAAAGGAGATACAGATATATAGAGAGAGAATTATTACTCAGTGGTAATATGCTTGTATGACTAGGATTCCTGAAAAGTCACATTTTCAGATATGTCAAGGTTTTTGTACTGAATACCACTAAATATCATTATCAGAATATACAATAATGGATGCTTACTTATGGAAATCACAGAAATGTGTTGATTTTAGTGCTGAAATTATCTGTTTGCAGAGTAACACTGTATCTCTTCAAGCCAGGTTCCAAAAGGTAGAGACGCTGGGAGGCCGTAAGAGCTGGAACTGCAGAGGCCACTGGGTGTCAGGGTTGGACCTGCAAAAATTCTTCTTCCATTAAAAACAGAATGGTTGGATGCACCTCCAAAATGTAGAGGAAAAAGGGTAGAGGTGGCTGCTGGACCAAGAAAGACAGTGTCAGTGGCTGCCCAGCGCAAGATACAAACAAATTTTTGAATTCCCTGCTGATTTTCTGGGTGGAAGCGTGAAGACATAAATACCCTGTAAACAAGATGATGTAACAATCAAAACAGATAAAACCAACACACACCCAGAAAGATGATAAAATGGGGAGGAATGCCTTTTTTTTTCCCCCAGAAATTCCTCTATTCTTCATTATATTGATTTGTCCTACAAATACAGTGACCAAAAAAACCCTGAGATTGCATTAGCCTGGCAAGAATGATGCTGGAATTTAAATAATGATAAAAACCTATTGTCTATGTGGCATGTGATTTTTTTTGAAGTATCTATTTCATTAAAAATATGTTGATTTTGGTAAAACAGGGTTCTTAGATCATTATTTGCAGAGGTCACATTGCCACTTAGCAATTTAATACTGGAAAAATTACATTTTTCTAATTGCCTATTTGGGGATTTTTTCCTCAGTTTTCCCATGCTATCACATGAACTGCGATGCAGTTTCTCAAATGTTGTTATACCTATGAACATTATCAGCCTCAGAAAGCTCTTATTTTGAGCCTGAAAGAGATGGAAGACAATTTTGCTGCTTTTCTCAAAGATCCTTTAAAAAATGTTTTTCACACAAAAACCTCTTCTTCCACCTTGTTTTATGTAAACTCCTCTGATTTCTTTCTTTGCCTTGTAGTCAGAATCATGATTTTGCTGCAGGGTAAGAATTTGCCATCACACTGCAGCCACCGACAGCCTTTGGGCTGCTTCTGAGACAGAGGAAACCCAGTCCTTGCAAGCATGGTTAAGTTTCAAACTTTCTTCTACTATTAGAAACTATGTTTTGTTATTGATTTGATTTTATAGTGTGCAAATACTCCAAAATCTGAATGCTCTTTTAGGGTTGCATGGCTGATTCTCTGCCAAAACTATAGATTGGAAGAATGTGGAGTAAAAAATCAGGAAAGAAGTACTGAGTATCCCACAATTGAAGCCACACACCTTATGCTGCTCTGTATCAATGTAATCAGTCATATTATGTTGAATCAGACTGCAGCTGGAGAAATTCACTCCTGAAGAGCTGCCAAACTGAGACCTGTGACCTGCACTAACAGTGTCTTGCCTAGGAGCAGCTTAGGGATCACAGAGACTGGGCCTTGGAGCTTCACACTCCATCAGCTGCTTGTGAACATCACTGTGATGCTCTAGACATTCTGTACGGGCCTGAAAAACAGCTATGTGCCTTAGGGGCACAGCATAATTGAATAGCTTAGTTTAGGTGCCACTGACCACTTCCTAGCAAGGTGCAGGAGCACCCTAAAAGCAGGGAGTCAGTAGGGGTCACTAGCACAGTGCTTGCAGATGAGACACTGAAATAATGTGGTGATCTGAGGAATGTGGTGTGGAGGGAGATGGAGCACAGTGGAATCCTGGCAGAGGCAGCTCTCACTTGCTGTTTAGAGGAAAGTTCTTTATTCCAAAGCCATCACTTTAAAAATAAAAGCCTGTCCAGTAATGTGATTAGTTACCTCTTCAGGCTAAAAATAGAGCCAGTAATAGTCTGCCAGTGAGTTGAAACTACTTGTGTCCATATACGTTTTTGTAATGGGAAAGATTTGTTCTTGGCATGCATTTGGAAACCAAATGAAGTAATAAGAGTAAACACATCAAAACTGGGGAAGACTACAGCACTCTCCAAGAAGCAGCTGTATTCTGCTCATTTTCTTTGCATGTCTTTTCTTCATTCACTCCAGATAAACTGCCACAGCTAATGCAGCTCTTAATTGTGTTCAATAAGGTATACAAAAGTAGCAGTGATGAAAGGCACATGTTTAAATAGGCCAACATTTTGAATATTAGAAATGTACACAAATTTAAATTAGAAGAAA